TGCTCCTGTACTCCAATCCTCTCGCCATGAAGGGACGAACATCCCATTGGCCTTCCTCATTCCCTACTGCTCCTGACTTTCAGCGACTCGTGTACGAGGGGACGCCCAGGTCATGTTGCGTCTTTCTCTCTCTCTCTCTCCCAACCGATCGCTATTTGGAATAATAACCACCTCCCTCTTTCTGCTCCCAAACCCTACTTGCCAGCTCAGGCCTGGGAATATTGTCCAGGGAATATTGCTGCATGTACAATCCCTCAGTATCTGTAGCGGCGCTAACGGGTTTGGATATTCCAAAATTGCCGGCGAACATCCCACCATCGGAATTGTGATGGGGGGAGGATCCCAGAATGTTCTGGATGGGAAGAAGAGCTTTTATTAAGGGAGAACATCGAGAGAAAAAAAAAGAACACGCTGAGTAGGCCGGGACGATGAAGAGGAATTTTTAGCACTGCGCGCGCAGCCTCGCCTTCGCGAGTTGAGCCAGCCATTACATACTCAGAGTCCGCATGGTGTCTGCTGCTGTGATCTGCGTTGGCACCGGCTGCGGGGCGTAGATTTGCATCGAAGACTGGCACCGATCGCCAAACGGAAGACTTTTTGGACGCAGTTGCCTATGTCTCGCCACCTACACGACCAGAAGACGGCGACTGTGACTCTCCGGGGGAACAAGAAAACGCAACAACGATCTCTGACGCTCTCGACACCTTGGGAACCAGGTGAGCGTCACACCCTCACCCATCCCCTGGCAGCAACACCGCACCACCCCCCACCCCCTGGTGTTTCCTTCCACTCTCTCTCTCTCTCTGCACGTGTGTGTCCCTCAGAGTCGCGCTCCCCGGGCACTAACCCCGCACGGAAATCCAGTCATCCCAATGGATCTTTTCTTTAAAAGCTGAATTCCCTGGTTAGGCTGGGAATTGTTGCCCAGACTCCCAGAGGGCAGTTAAGGATCACCCACAATGCAGTGGGGCTGGAGAGCAGAATGGCCAATTTCCTCCCCAATAGATATTAGCGAACCAGAGCGATCTTTCCAACACGGGTCATCAATTTTGTTTTTAACTCTGGAATTATGTTGAGTTCAAACTTGACTATAAATTCTTAAAAACCCTTAGGAGCGCTGATATACAGAGGGATCGTGAGGCGCATGTCCCTTACCCCCCTCTGTAAGTGACAACACAAGTGGATAAGGTGGGAAAGAAGGCGCATGGCAAGTTTGCCTCCATCGGTCGGGGCTTTGAGTAGAAAAGTTGCCAAGTCATGTTGCATCTGTGTGAGGCTTTGGTCAGGCCACATTTGGAGCATTGTTTGCAGTTCTGGTCGCCACACTATAGGAAGGATGTGGGAGTTTTGGAGAGGGTGCAGAAGAGGTTTACCAGGATGTTGCCGGGATTGGGGCGTATTAGCTACAAGGAGAAGTTGGGCAAACTTGGATTGTTTTCGCTAGAGTGTCGGAGGCCGAGGGGAGACTTGATAGAAATCTGTCGAATTATGAGGGGCACGGGTAGTCAGAATCTCTTTCCCAGAGTAGAAATGTCAAATACTAGGGGGCAAAGGTTTCAGGTGAGAGGGGAAAAGTTTACAGGAGATGTGCGAGGCACAATTTTTTATGGGTAGGTGCCTGGAACGTGTCACCATTAGTGGTGGTAGAAGCTGATACAATGGTAATGTTTAAAAGGCAGACACATGAACAGACGGAGGATACAGGGACCATGCGCAGGGAGATGGGATTGGTTTAGAATGGGTCAGAACAGACACGGTGGGCCGAAGAGCCTGTTCCTGCACTACACCAAGCTAATGTTCTATCTGCTCTGGTAGGATTTAAACTCACGTCCTCAGAACGTTAACTGGATTTCTAGTCCAGTGACAATACCATGATACCACCACCTAAAACCAAATAAACTGAGGCATTCTGTCCTGTCCTCATCAGGACCCTTGGCAAGAGTGCCAAATTTCAAACAATAGCAACAAGTCGATCCGCGGGAGAAACGATCCGGTTGTCCGAGTGTTGCCATGGAAGAAAAAGAAACATTAGCAGGCCACAGGCTCCCCAGCTGTTTAAATTGTTGCGATGGTCGGAAATTTGACACTCTTGCCAAGGGTCCTGAGGAGCGCAGAACGGAAAAACCTCAGCCATCAGTGATATTGTAGGTAGGTAACATCAGGGATTGAAAGAAACAAAGTGGGCGACGCCAACAAGAAACAAACGCCAAAGCAAACGGAGGAAGTGATGTACGTACCGTTTCGGCCATGTTGGGTGAGAGGTCGCGCCTTGTTTCTTTCTCAAAGATGACCTGCGATTTACTGAGGTTCTGTTCTTTCCTCCTGGACTTATTCGCTCTGTGGTTCTGTTCGTCTTTGCCTGGGCTCCCATCCATCTTGTGTTCGAGCAGTGGGTCCAAAACGGAACTGCAGAGACGCGACCAAGATTCTGAGCTCAGGTCCCCGTCTCAAAGTGGGCCCCCGTCCTTCTGAGGAACACGACAGGGAAGCACCCCCACCTGCCCTCCCCCCACCACCCCCCAACCTCAGCACTGCACGTGCCTAAAGCCGGACTGGAGCTCTGCCCCTGAGGCTTCTGGGAGGCAGTTTGTGACCCTGAGAGGTGACTCAGACCTCTTCTGATCCAGGCTCCTCCCTCCCTATCCCGTAAAGTCTGAACCACCTTCAGATCATGAAGGCACTCAAAAACGAGACCCCTACAAGCCCTCTTGGTGGGGGAGTGGTGTGGGGGAGAAGGAACCTTCTTCACTTGCCTCTTCATGCCCATCCAAGATGGCCGACCCCTCAGTCTGCGACCCCTGACCCCTGTGTCCAAGATTCCCCAGCCAAGGGATCGGGTAGCCATCACTGTCAGCGCCTCCCCTTGAGAGTTTTAACGAGATCCCTTTCTTATGGGGAGATCCATGAGGGTTGGAGCTGATGTAGACCATTTGGCCCATGGAGTTCAATCAGGTCTGAGCTGATATTCCCCCACGTTCCCTGCCTTTCAGTCCTCGATTTCCCCTTCCTGACTGAAAACCCATCTCGGCCTTGAGTAGACTTCACGACCCAGCTCCTACAGCCCTCTCTGGTAAAGAATTCCACACATTAGCTCCCCTCGGAGAGAAGAAATTCCTCCTCATCTCCATCTTCAATGGGTGACCCCGTATTCTGAGATTACACCCTCTGGTCCTAGACGCTCCCACAAGGGGACACAACCTCTCTGCATCTCTCCCACCCTTGACAGGTCCTTCATTAACGGGATGAGGGACGTCGCTGGCCAGGCAGCATTTATTGCCCATCCCTAATTGCCCAGAGTTCAGAGTCAACCACATTGCTGTGTGGGTCTGGAGTTACATGTAGGCCAGTTTCCATCCCTAAAGGACATTAGTCTCTCTAAGAATCTGTCTGTTTCAATAAGGTCGCCTCTCATTGTTCTAAACGAGTACAGGCCCCGGCCTACTCAACCTCTCCTCAGTCCCTCCTTACCGGGATCAGCCGTGTGAACCTACTCCAGGCTGCCTCCGATGGCTGGTCCATCTCTGCTTGGATACGGGGTCCCGAAACTGTTCACAGTATTCCGGCTGCGGCCTTAGGTGGAGAGTCGGGCCTAATGATGGGGCACTGGGGAGGTGGAGGGAGGGGGCGGCTGGGGCGAGAGGAGGGCGGGTAGTTAGGGGCCGTGGCCTCCAGTTGGACCCCTTTTGTAGCCCCCCCCC